GCACTATTCACGTCGTCATAATTCGATACATTTCGGTCAACCTTAAAAATAAGCGATGTGTCGTCAGCAAACAGTACAACATCACATAACTCACTGGCATAAAAGGGGAGATCATTTATATATACTAAGAATAATAATGGGCCCAAGATCGATCTTTGTGGGACACCCATTTTCATGGGGGACCCTGCGGAATTTACATCATTTATAGATACTTTTTGAATTCTATTATTAAGGTAAGAAGCAATGAGATTGAGGGCGATGTCACGAATGCCATAATAATCAAGCTTTAGAAGGAGGGTTTTGTGATCCACGCAGTCGAAAGCTTTTGAAAGGTCGCAAAAAACCTATTGCTATTGCATCTTGCGACCCTTCCCAGGCGTTTTAAATATGTTTGACAAGTGCGATACCCGCATCTGTTGTCGATCTGCCTTTAGTGAATCCATATTGCTCATTGTGAAAAATTTTGTTCATATTAAAATGTACTAAGAGCTGATTTAAAATTAGTTTTTCAAAAATTTTACTCAGAGATGGCAATATGGAGATAGGTCTGTAGTTTCCTGGATCATTTTTATCCCCACTTTTGAAGACGGGGATTATCTTACTAAATTTCATAAGATCTGGAAATATTCCAGATTCTATGCAGTTGTTAAAAATATTAGCTAAATGTGGTGCAATATATGGCATTATTGTGGTCAGTAATTTTATGGACATGCCCCATAAATCCCCTGTATTCTTAAGACTAATAGAATTCAAAACTTTTATAATATCATAAGTATCTATGTGATTAAATTTAAATGTGTGGGGACAAAAGGTAACATTATTTCTTAGAACGTTAATTGCATCTATGGGAGATGATTTTAATGTACATGTGACATTAACTGCAATTTCTGAAAAATAGCTTTAAAAACTACTTGCAATTTCATTATCTGATGTTATGGGAGAATTACCTATAACCAGTTTTATAGGTTCCCTGAATATCTCTTCCAGATATACGGGTAATGATGTCCCATGTGGCTTTAATTTTATTGTTTGAATTTATTATTCTATTTCTTATATGAATAGATTTTGCCTGAATACAGACTTTTTTAAATATTTTTGAGAACATTTGTACCCTTTTATGAAAGTTGGGGTCATGATTCCACTGCCTCATATTATATAATTCATACAGTGAATCCCTACTTTTATATATACCCACTGTTGCCCAGTCACTAAATTTTAATTTTGAATTTTTAACAATTGTGCGCGATTTAAATACATCATTATAAGAAGATATGAGAAAGTCAACCATTGATTTATAAGAATCATTAGGATTATTGACTTCTATATCTTTATTTAACATATGATGTGCCACTTTGTCTTTAAAAGAATTTATTCTATTAGTAGTGACTGGTCTACACTTGATCTTATGTTTGCTTGTAATAACTTTTTCATTTATTGAAAATTTTTTGATTTGACTTATAATAAAAGTAGATGTAATATTGTAAAGTTAGTTTGTTTTTGTTCAAGCCCGGTTCGTAAGTTTTACATCCGACTGCAGGTTTGGGTTCAGCGGCGAAATACCTACTTTTATACTATTTTTTCTACAAATTTTAATGTTACTTTACTCTTACTTTTGTAAAGAGTTATTCGTTAAAGAGGAACACAAACGAGCTGGGTAAACAAACGATTTCGCCAAAGATACACGATATTCTTGTAAACGAATAAAGCATACAATTATTTCAATGAAAATTTATCGTTAAACATAATAAAGTATCTTGTAAAAATAGCGAAGACTGCATACTGTACGATTTTACTTCGAAACGGAAAAAAAATAATACAATGAAGGTAAAATCACCGTCTAGACCGCCTGGGAAATATGTCCGCAATAACCCTCGATTCATTTATGCTAATAGACGTATCTTTAACGTGGGCCACATTATTACCAATGTAGGTAGTTAAATAAAACATGATAACGATAGATATATGATAAATTCGGTTGGTAGTGGAACAGGAGTAAAATAGAAATCAAACTCATATTCTTAATTATAACTGTTGGTACTTGTTGACCCATGCGCGTGATCTGCTACCGAATTAGGCTTTTTACGAAGAATAAAGCTTTTCACCTTTAAACAAACGATTTTTTTTATGCAAACAAACTATAAAATAGCGTTTGAATAATTCAATTTGATGAATTATGGAAGTTAGAGCGTACCAACAAAAACACCTGTAATATATAGATATAATTATTCAACAGTGTGTGAATTACCGAAATACGCTTCGACACATTTCGAAACTCAATTGCCTTGAGATTTACGATCCAACCCGTCTTAGCGGCACACTCAGAGACGTCGATCAGTCATTAACTTCATTTATTAGTCAAGTCATTAAAACAGAACATCGCACATTACTAGAATGTAATTAGGGGTGTCAATGAACTAGAATTAAATTATTTATTTCGAGCTAATTCATTCACGTCTCCGAGAGCGACAGAGATTCTTAGAGGATAAGGATTCCTAACTTTTCCTACCGAAATTCGTAGTCAAGACGCTCCCGTTTACGTTGGTTTATCCGTAATAAAGTTTGCGTGTTGTAAAAAATTAGAAGTAAACGGTCCAAATACCTATTCGTCGATTTGAGGGCAAACGGGTTAACGCCACAGCTAAACGTTCCCGGAAATATAAATAATGCTAATCAACCCAAATGTTTTAATGGAACCCGCCAAAGAAAACAAGAGGGAGATAATTGATAAAGGGATTTGTGGATCGGGTTAATTTCTGATTATTTTAGTCTCAATACTTGTACACGTCCTTATGAGAACTGAACTTCTAATGACAGTCGATCAGTTGTGGTCTTTCTCACGGCGATTATCGGCACAAAAACCTCCGTGATTAGTGACTTGCACATTTTTGACAGTGCGTACAATGTCTCGAGCTATCGATCATATTGTCACAATCAGCAATCCTCTCTTTGATCTCCTTGCGACGAACTGTTTGCTATCTTAACCCTAAGACGGTAGACATCGGTTGTGGGATTAAAAAGTAAAAAAAGCATGCTATCAGCCTACTGGACAAAGGCCACTGTACAAAGGGTACTTAGCACCGCATGAGCCAACTGTCGATTGGCAGACTTCACATATCTTCGAGATATTTTTAAGCTATTGCCTAGCTTTTATCGCGGGCTTTGAGCGCGGCGACTGAATCAAGATATTCCGTAACGATGGATTCGATCCCCGTACGAGACAAGAATTTAGGTGTTCAGAAAACAGCTTCGAGTATACATAAGTACCTACTTTATGTCTGTGATTTTCATGTTTGTTGGTAAAGTAATTGTCTACACGGCTCGTTCACTTTTTGTTAGACATTGACTTTGCTTCCTGCCTTATCTTGCAGGATGGAGCTATCAAATATGTGGTCTTAAGTCGTTAGTAATAATCACAAGTTGTTTCTTCAGTCATGAGATCATTGATCAGAGGTGTCAATCAAACAAAGTGATTGGTGAACAACAATATTCAATTTTGATAGAGTAACTAACCGATAAAATGGTCAGGCATCGATTACTTCTACAATTATCAGATTAGGGCCAACCACCCGACTATAAACATTTTAATGATTAACATGCCAGTGTTTACAATTATACGTCATGAGCATTGCAACAAATAACAAACAGTAACAGTATAAGTGAACGCCAAAAAAACTATACTTTTCAATAATCCAGTAAAACATATCGCATTTTATGTACTTTTGAACTTTTATTTCGATGTTGAGAAAAGAAAAACTTATGTTTAACCTATAAAAGGTTGGTAAAACTATAAATGGACACCAATACTTAAAACAAGATATTTTTATGGCTAAAAATAAATATTTATTCGAATAAAGATAATAAACACCAAAACCTCCACCCAGACAACGTTCAGCGTGCTTAATAAGTAAAATCATAAACGAGCTCGCCAGCAGGTAGAGCACAAAATTCACGCACAAAGAATAGTTGAAATCGCAGCAGGTAGAAAAAGGCCCGACGTGAATGGCGTATTAAAAAATACCTTTAGAGCGAAACACAAAAGCTAACTTTCTCGCCGGTCGCGAACTATGCGACTGGTGGAAAAGAAAAAATAAGAGGAAAAAAAAGACCGAATTGATCCTTCTTGAGCGATCCCTCCTTTAGAAGCGTGTTCGACAAAACCTTGTTCGGATTTCGAATTCACGATTTTAATCCAAGTACTCGCGGGGAGCGACCCAAATTCATTCGACGCGGGATCGGCGCTATGAAGGCGTGCGGATCGGGTTTTTGAACGTGGCTCGGTGCAATTAGACACGGGCAGGTCGTGGGCGAGGCGCTCCAGCTCGGAGGAACCAACGATCAATCAGAGCCCCCTCGCCGCTCCCACACCCCTAGTAATTAATTTATTGGGCCCCGATCTGGACTCGCGCGTCGCCTCGCAACGTATCCCATGATCAATTGCGGCGGGCGCCGGCCACCGGTGGTCCGCGATTAATCAACGCAAGTGCCTACGCACACATTTTCCCATGTAGCCCCCCCCCCCCCCCCCTCTCGCGTAGTTTATATACGAGTGAGTTTCGTAGTAAATAGCGTTAAAAATGGGAACAATGCATTCCGCTACGTATTTAATGCGACCCTGGTAACTTTTAAGGCAGTCCTGTGTCTACAAATATTCTGGAAGCATTAACGCCGCTGTTTTACATCTTACACAGCCCTAACTGGGGCGTATACATTGTCTGTAAAGTCTTACGCCCGATTTCTATTCACGGTAGTAGCTCGACTTCGTTGTTTAGAGCGCGTTATTCGTTGCTTTCTACGTCGCCTCAGAGATTGCTCGGCAGTGGCCGTGGCTGTGGCTGTGACTGTGGCATTATATTTTCACGGAGCCCCGTAGATGGGCACGAAGACGGCGTGTTGTACGCGGCGTTGAATTAATTACGACCGGCTCCTGTCCTATAGGGGCGTCCCCTGGTGGGGAAAGACGAAAAAATAAGGCGAAAATGTTAACGCACGGCGCGTTCTTATTTGCATTCAGAGGGCGAGCGGTCGGGTAGGACTGAGGAGCGGTTTTGGGGCCCTCGACCGGCGAGCGACGTGGTCTCGGAATAATCGGGCGCGCCTCCCCCCGACGCGACGCGGTCGTTCACACACAATCGAGGCACCGAACGCCAAAAGGGCCCTGCCTACGCGGCGACCCAACTAAGCGTCCACCCATAGCTGGCGACCACAACCCTCGTGCACGCACGCCGCTCTACGATAACAAACCATCCGACACGCAAAAACTCAACCTTAACCAGTCAGCGGAAGGTATAATATTAATTTCATTTATTACACGCAGGCGCTGCATCCATCTCGACCTCGGATCGCGGTTCGCCGAACGAAAATCGTTTCAAACGGCTAGGGAGTAGGGCACAGAATCGCACGAAATCCGAAACGATCGGGGTGCGCAATGTGCATTCGATTGCGGAATACATGAATATTGAAAAGCACTCTTATGCCCGTCAACGCTGAATCGAATACACGTCGACAACGACCGATGAAAACAAACGCCACGTGTTTATAGAGGGGCAGCTAGTAACTGTAGATTAGAAGTAGTGAACGCCTAACTTCTGAACACATGTTGTAAACTTTTCGTCGCCCGCTTCATACGACGCGGCAAAGATAGTAATGAAATACGATAACGGATATCACAAAATGACGCTACACGAAAAATAATTCTAAATCAGTCTATTACTTTTACAGCAAATGAAACAACTCTGGGTGAAAAACGTAATTAACGAATAAAACGCTTCACGTATTGCCAAAATAAAAACTTAATGTTGTATTTCACTGTAACGGAATCACGAGTTTGTGTAAAAACTTTCTAGAAGGACGACGGCTGTCGTACCGTCTTACGGTTAGCCGATTTTCAATACGAACCTACTTAACCATTTCTTGTTCTTGATACTACCTGTTTCTGTACCTGTCTCTTTTGAAAGTCGGCTACAATTTACCAGGACTATAAAAAAATTTTTGTACAATTCGTAAATATAATAATACGATTCTTAGCAGTATAACATTGAATTGTATTGACTACATAGTTGATATTAAATTATATTTAGGGAAGGACAAAGTCGTCAACAAAACACTTGATGATTACAGAGAAAAAAACTGCCGTTCGGTCGGCATTCGTCGAACTACAAACCTTCAGTAAAACAAATTTGGCAAGAATTCAAACAGCTTTACTGCTATATGTCTCCATTACAGTTACGTCTCAAAGTTTATTAAACCAATTTTACAGCTAACGGAGGTAATTTAGAAACGACGAAAGTAATTTAAATTAGTTTCATATTCAAAAGGTTGCGGTTCATTAACCACCGTTACGTACTCTGCTATCGCGAAGTACGTGTCTTGTCACTTGACGATAAATAATTGTTACACAAGCAAATGGGCAGATTAGCAAACGCTTTAAATCAATTTACATTTTTTCTGGTTCATAATGAGAAAGATGATAATTTAACAGCTAGCTAGCACGTTTGCTAAAATACGTAGCATAACGGTAGATACGTGGCTTTCTTTCGGCAAATCAAATCTTAATAGCAGACTACCAATAAGGAATGGTTACAATACACACTGGGCAACAGTACCGAGAACTGCATTGTGATATAACGACAATAGACCTTGTTCTCGCGCGGCACACCATGGTACCAACACCACACAATAAAACTCCCAGCTTATGATAAATTTTACACTTACCCAAAATATATTCCTTAAATTGGTTATATGCAAGAAAAATTAAATTAGATTACACATTCCACAAAGGAGGACAATCAGTCACTTCGTATTATATTTCCATATTTTTAATATTTTTTTAATAGTTAAATGGAAGTGGGTGACCAAACCTAACATTATTTCATTATACACATACCTATGCATTGATGTCTTTAACAATGACATGATAGAATACCAATACCACTTTTTCATTCATCTATATATACATAATTATATTTCTATTACGTTTGCATCTTACATAGACAAAGGTGACAATTTAAGTGAATTTTGCATAAATTAGAAAACTTGCAGTTTTTATTGGGTAATATAACTGCAAAGAAAGTTTAGGCAGATAGAGAGCACAAATAAGATCATTTGAATTATGCATAAAAAAATGCAAATAGGTATTTGCTAAGAAATAAATATGACGATAAGTCAAAATTAAACCTTAAAAAGACCAGGTCAAGATTTTTTAAACTGTACTTTGACTTCATACAATACATTTTCAAAGTTACTAGAGATTTATAAAGTTGTTAAACTTGCAAACTTAATTTGACCACGAACTTTACAAAAAGTAATTAGTTATAATATTCAGCTTTTTAAATTATTATATGGATATTAACCAATTAGACAACATTTTACAAGGTATATCATATTAATTAAAACTATCTATATAAATAGCTTGATAAGAATTAAATCTATTTTTTGTTCCCGTTTGTTTTGTAAAAAAGTAAACATGAATATATACATACCATACGACTCCGAAGGCACCGTAGCCAATGGGCCGGTCGGGCTGAACGTCCGTTGGGATGGCCGGCGTCTGGTAGTAGGGCGCCGCCGCCGCCAGGATGGCGCCCTGCGGCGCGCTCTGCGTACCGCCCTGCATCAGCGACATGGACACACTCATGGAGACGCGAGAGTGCCGCGCTGGGCCGCTTACAGCCGCCATCCAACCGCTCCGCGGCGAGCCGTCACCGCAGACTCATCACACGCTGCACTCCACGACCCTGACACTGCGCCCCGATCACCAGCTCTCGCCTCCCGTTGGAAACGCGACGCTATCACCGGTTACTTTTTTATTATTCATGCTCGAACGACTATGCGGGAATCACAAACGCACACCACAACCGTTGAAATACACCTGTCAATTTCACCAGTTTAATCCTTATGTGAATTTTGTTCATAAAACTTGTTACAGCAAAGAAACTTTAAAATCTTAACTTAGTTTGGAGTTTATTTGGACAAAGGATGAGACCGTAAATTTTTAATTCACACCACACACAGTCGTCCGCACACCACGGAAATCGAGCGAGACTGGCTTTTGTGGAAGGGGGAGGAAGCGGCGCCAGAACGAGATAGCTTATAATAATGGCGATAGCATGATGAACAGCTGCTCTAACCGAGTTGGCTTGGTTCGAAACTTGAATCCTCTTTTGAAGGAAATAAACTCTGCAGTATTGCTACTAAACAACATTAGATAAGTACGAAATTTTACGGTATTTTAACCGAGTTACAATTCCACATTATTAAATCAAGGGGTTCGAAACTTTGAGAAACACAATTTAAAAATAAACTCGATACCTCCATAAATATCGTTTAATTTAAGAACAACCCCAAGTTAAAGATTGTGATTAACATTGATTTCAATTTGTAATTGATCAAACAAGATTTTCAAAACTTTTGTACATAACGTATTTCGTAGCCTGTTAACCGTTACGTCTTATTTCATGACTTGCAGCGCGGACGCTTGCTGTATGGTCTTTTTGATTAAAAATAATAATGTTTGACAGTGACATCATTTATGCATAATTATTTTGTTATTTATCAGAAAATGATATACCTACTTACAAACAATAATTATCTTGATATACATAATTTGCTTTGAACCAACTGGCTTAGAAAGAGATCTTTTTAAACTTTTGAATGAAATAAAAATAGAATTTCTATGATTTGGTTGATTTTATAGTTTTTGTTTCTATCTGTAAATCTTTATGAATAAAAATGAATGTTTGCAATTTAGCATGTTTGTCCTCTATGCGCTCTTAAGCCTTTTGCGAGATTATGATGAAACTGGTACGTTGTTCTGCTTACCTCCGCGAATGTTCCTGATCCAAAAAAAATATCTCTTAAATACTAATGCTGTGAACAAATTAAAAAATGCAAAAAAATGCATTGTTAACCACTTCGAATATTACTATTTGCTAGGAAAGGTAATTTCAAGTAATATTTACTGAAGCAAATAATCACTGCCTTAGATTAAACATAATATTGAGATTAATATACTCACTGTTGCGTCTCAATATATTTATTGTAATATTTTGTATGTTAAAAATAATATTAATAGTTATCTAAAGAATAGTGACAGACATAAACTAAATACTAGAAATAAGGGTAAATGTAAATAACTTTAACTCCGGCGTAATTCAAATCAAATAAATTTTAAACGATAGAGAAAACTCACTTATGAATTTATCAACAAGCAGAATTTGGCGGTCGCTTATAGTTTTCGAAAAAATAAATAATGAAACAGTGTGATTTTTACTATAGAAATCCGCCATTTTTTGTTGTCAATATGTCAATTCAGCTCGTATTTCTTGGTGGTCATAAAAAAAAACCTAACATCGAAGGTGAACCTTCTAACCTAATCTATCCGAGTCGGATTCGCTCTGTGTCGGTTCTGTGACTCATTAAATTTAAAAAATCGGAATATCGATACGCGCCCGCTTCCTATATTTATCATGTTGGCAAAACTGTGTAAAGAACTTTTGAAGTCAAACGAATAAAATGGTGGATTTCTTAGTACAAAAAACAAGTTTTAAATATTTTTTTTCTCGAAAACTATAAGCGACCGCCGAATTCTGCTTGTTGATTAATTCATTAGAGATTTATCTCTATCGTTTAAAATTTATTTGATTTGAATTACGCCGGAGTTAAAGTTATTTACCTTTACCGAAATAAGGACAAACTAACTACGCCATTGTTTTGTTTACAAAAAGTAAACAGGTCGTTCATGGGGCAAGGTGTGCGCAGGTATAATAAAATCCCACAGTCGATATTAAGTCTGCCACTTGATGAATTTAAACGAAAAATTAAAAGTAAACTTATGGCTAAAGCCTATTATTCTATTGCCGAATATCTTGACGACGCCAATGTGTGGGGTTAATACTGTTGATACTCACGTAGGCTAAAACAAGACTATTGTACATGTACTATTATATTGTAAACTGATTTTTTTTAAAAAGAGCAACTGTTGAGTTTCTTGCCGGTTTCTTCTCAACAGAAACTGCTTTCCGAACCGGTGGTAACTTACGAACGTGTTAATTTCTTGTAAAATTTTGACGTTTCATAAGAACGCGCAAGCGTCTATGTGAATAAAGATATTTTTATTTTTTTTTTATTTTTTAATATATCTAGATATAGATACCGTGTTGACTGAAGATGAGAGATGTAAATTTCATGGCACTTGCAAGTGTATATAGGTAAAGGGATACCTAATATTACTACTAGCGTAAAAACAATCAACAATTACGTAATTTTCAATTAATTAAAATGGGATTTTTTTTTAAATTAATACATTTATTAAGTGAATATAACCACTTTTCCCAAATTGTGAAAACAATTTATCGACGAGACAAAACACTTAACATATTTGTCACTTCGAATAAAAACAATGAAAAAGAATAACTAAGGAGTAAAAGAAAAAAAAAACAGGAACAATCCAAGTAATTTTATGATTACTTATAGTTATCTATATAAAAGGCCTTAGACTTTTATTTTGAAGATATTCTTGCTTACACAATAACTTTCAGAACAAATCTCATTGAATATATTTGGTACTAAATACCCACTTCTTCTCATCCCATTATAACATAATTTGGGGAACATTCCTTTAACTTCTGATAAATATCATAATAATTTACATTGGTTTGTTTTGTTTTCATTTTGATTTTGTTACCATGTTTCGTTTACCTATGTGTAAAAAAATGTATGTGTTTACTTACGTACGCACGTAAGAATTTATTACTTTAGCGTAAAGACTAAATGGAATTGAAATTTTACTCTTACAATTTTTCAAAACGCGACAAAAAAATGTATTATTTTAAAAATGTTACTGCGGATTTTCGAAAAGTATTTAAATGTTACAAATACTTAAATAGTGGAAAACAATAAAATGAATATCACCTTTTAATTTACTAAAAGATTTCTTTAAATAAATATTTCTTTTTCAATTCAATAGGGTTGTGCCTACTAGGGTAGGCATAGCCATTATTTTAATTTTCAGCTGCCCGTTTTTTTAACATCCGTGTTATTATAAAATTTCGTACACCTAATTGTCCTCCACACAAGATGTAAATGTCCTCCCACATTTGGTTTCCACCATCATTATTCATTTCTACTCTCTGTGCTTAAAAATATTAACGACATTAATTCAAAATTACACATGCTTACATTATATTTTACGTTTAGAATATTACATATTAGAAAATTAAAATCAATTATACGGACTACACTGAGAAGAGACGACGTATTCGACAAATAATGAATTTTTCTTTTATTAAATAGAACTGCTGGACAAGGCATCTACCTATAATCAAATATCACTGAATCATCATCATCATCATTTCAACCTGTTTGTGTCCACTGCTGAACATAGGTCTCCTCCATAGACTGCCAAGAAGTACGAACTTGAACAGCCTGCATCCATCGATTTCCCGCACATTTGCACACTCCATCTACTGGGGGTCGTCCTACACTGCGATGGCCAGTACGAGGCTGCCACTCGAGAACCTTTCTTCCCCAACGGTTATCGGTTCTACGAGCTATAAGGCCGGCCCATCCCCACTTCAGCTTGCTAATCCTCTGAGGTATGTCGGTTACCTTGGTTCTACTGCGGATGTCTTCGTTACGAACTCTATGACGCAGAGAAATACCGAGCATAGCCCGCTCCATAGCTCGCTGAGCGACTTTGAGCTTCTTCATACGGCCAGCAGTGAAGAACCACGTCTCGGTTCCGTAGATCATCACTGGCAACACACATTGATTGAAGACTTTAGTCTTCAAACATTAAGGTATATTCGACGATTTTTGCCGAAGTTTCCCGAACGCTGCCCATCCGAGTTGGATTCGCCGATTGATCTCTGCGTCGAAGTTGGACTTACCTAGCCGGACTAACTGTCCTAGGTAAACATACTCGTCAACAACTTCGAGCTCCGTGCTCCCAACAACAACCTGTGGTGAATAAGGTTTATTTTTAAATATCTCCATAAAACTGAATACGGTACATTGATAAAGTAAATAATACAGATTGAATTTACATTTATTTGCAAAATATTCATTATACATATAGTTAATGGAGTTTGGATAAATAATACGCATTTTAATAAATATCAATTATTTTATCACAGAGAATCACATTGTGTTATACAACATATTTATGTGGCTAGTATAAAATATTCCTTACAATATGACACAGATAATTGTAAAATATATATTAATTACTTAAATTACCATTGGAAACATTGCTACAAAATACTATCTTTGTCTATTTGTTGTTATCTTTAATTCAAATTAAATAGTTCCAAAAGAAATTCCGCTAAAAATAAACTTTAGTATTTACATTGCAAAGGGTTATAATAATTAATGGCTTAATGAATATTTATCTGGATGTCTGAGTTTTGAAAACTAATACCATATTTCAAACAATTTTGAGATCTCTTGAGTACGCAATTTTTAAAATCCTCTTGAATTATTTTCTGCTTTTTATCCAAGAATACGGAAAAATTACCTCTAAATTTTAAATAAGCTAAACATTAAATAGTGTTTAAATTTCCAAAAAAAAAACCACGATATATCTATTTAACAGAATAATCATTGTTTATAAATTCTGTATTCATGATAAACTGTGTTTCATTTTATTATTTATGATTTAAACCAATGAACATCAAAAATTTCAAGAAATTTACGTATTTAACAAAGTTTCAATAAAATAATATTCTTTTTAGTTCTCCAGTAACCTGGAGTCACTGGCAGCCTAACATTAAAAAGCCTCCCACTATGTCAAATATGTGTAAGGTTTGCGGGCAACCAGTGGATGCAAATGGCAAAGTGTCTTTCAATGTGGTGTTTAAAGGAGGAGGACTTTGTCCAACAGGGGACGTCTCTAGGTTCTTATGTTGATATCATTATTTTGAAGACCAATTGAGGAGTTGAAGTTCATAGTACACCTCATAAATTACTGTATATGTGTTACATAATTATATGCCTTGACTGATCAATTTTTATTTTTTTTTGGATATAGAAACATTTTACTATTATTTAAATCTATCTCTGATTTTGGATACATAGCCAACCAAATTAAACTTAGATTAAATCTTACTACAAAATACAGTAGGTTATAGCTTTTTGTATCAAACCTATAACAAAATATGTTTGATGATCAGTAAATTAGAGATTGTTTCAATTTGTTTCATTCCGAAATTTATTTCATGTTTTTATATGTTTATTTGGTAAATACTTAAAAAAATTATACAAAAAGCATTTTTTGAATATTTACAAACAAACTTTTGGTGATTTTCTTGAATCTAGTATTTCTTAATTCGGGTAGATTACTTTCAGCCTGTGTAAAAATTTGAAGAATGGTTAAAGTTAAAACATTCGTCTAATTTTCAGAAAGTTCTATCTGTTAAACGATTAAATATATGTAGATAATTTAAGTATAATAATAAATAATGTACTCGAAATCGAACATATTTTACAATTGTTAGCTTAAAACTGACCAACATGACTTTGGGGAAATGTAATGATTCAAGTACTGGGAGATCATAAGCTAAGAGAGTTCGAAGCCAGTGTTGCTGTTGACTGCATAGCGCAGTTTGTCCCGTAATGTGCTCCGTTTCTGATAGTTGGGAAGTTTCAAGAGGTTAAAGCAAGTGGAAGAAGTGGGGAGACGGTTTAAGGGGTCCTTCTTTCGGATAGTAAAGAATCCCCTGATGACGCTACCTGTAACAAATTAAACGGTTATTTTAATATGAAGGTGTTTTTATTTATATGAGACTTCAATGCTTGTCTGCTATCCGACCCGATGGGAAGTAACTATGCAGCCATAGATGGTAAATGCAGTAGCTCAGTAAAAGCCTATTCACTATTGCTTTGAAGACACCCACATTACATCCCATTCCATTGTAGGCATAATGAATGACATAGCTGTTAATGTTTGAACTAATTGATATGTGAGGGGTTCGGAATGGATATCCAAAGTCACTGGTTTTACAATTTAGCACGTTTATTGCACTTTAATCACTTATTATTTAAATATTTGTATAGAGCACCTAGTCAACTGTCGATGCCTGGACGGAAGAGAGTGAATGAATGAAAAGAACATATTTATTATGAGATGAATGAATGAATAATAAACAATAGCGAAATGCTTAGTTCCACTTAAAGGAATGTCAACAACGAAAGGGTAGAGCTGTGCCTAGCATCTAGTAGTCTGAATATTGAACGAGAGTGGAGGAATTAATTCGTGTAATTCAGATGCAAAATCTACAAAATCCAACCTTTAAAATACCGAGAGGCCGGTTACCCTGCGCTTGTACTCGAGGGTAGTTCAAATTCTTTCAATATTTGTATGATCTAGATAATTGTTTCGGTAAGTGAAAGGTTTCTACACGTGAAATTTATGTATGTAAAACCAATAAAACTGTGATTTAAAACACAGGATAATATTATGCTACAGTAGTGGAATGTGCAAAAAATTTTGGGCCAGTTTTTTTTAATTAAAAATAAATAAAAAAAAACTGGCCCAAAATTTTTCGCCAGGATTCGAACCTCGGCTAGAATATAAATCCGCGTCAAAACGATTCAGCCACTAAACTAGGCGTTTTTTACCACCTTACACATAAACTGTGTAGTGAGAATTTTACACCAACACTTGAGGTCGGCGCGTTGCTAGGTCAGTGGAATTATTTACCAATAGTGTCGCCTGTGTCCTCGTCGTCGCCTACTTCCACGCAGCGTATCGAGAACGGTGGTTTCAAGTGAGCAAATCCGAGGACGGGAGGTTTCGAGCACGATGTCACGAACTGGAAATATATTGCACTTATTAGATAATGGCCGGCCATATAGGTCAAGAATCGATACCTGATTGGAAAGACAAGGTTCTTGCCCCCCCTTTTTTTTTTTTACGTGGGAAAAATCCTTTATGGATCCCCCGCTGCCTTGTGGGTAAGCAGCAGGGGTATGTGGGAGTTAAAGGTTCTCGCCTCTAAGGCAACCCCGAGGATGCGAATCATTATGATCCCTTAAGGATTGTATCGTTGCTCCAGTGACAGCCTTAAACACGTTGAGATAGCCCTAAACACGTTGAGACAGCCTTGAGGCCCCGAGCCATTATAATCCCTTAGGTTATCGCTACTTTAGTGACAGCCCTAAACACGTTGACATAGCCCTAAACACGTTGAGACAGCCCGAAACACGTTGAGACAGCCCTAAACACATTGACACACCCCTAAACACGTTGAGACAGCCCTAAACACGTTGACACAGCCTTAAACACGTTGAGACAGCCTTGAGGGTTAGACCGCGAGCCGTTGGCGGTGGCGACCTTGATCTTATAGCACGGCGCCGCTGCTCCAGTGGCAGCCCTAAACACGTTGAGCCAGGGGTGGCGACCTTGAGGAACATGGCGCGCTCCTGCTCGCTGAAGTCTCGCTGCAGCACGTCCCACAGCCAGCAGACGACGCGGTGCGAGTCGTGGAAGCCGCCGTAGTACTGCGTGTGGCGGCGCAGGTCGCGCAGGTCCAGCGGCACGTTGTCGCCGCTCACCAGCCGCTGCAGCTGCGATTCGAACCCAAATGGTTATTCGCGTGAGGACCGTTTTTGAACTCCAGCACTCGGTAGGGTTGCAGATGCGTAGCCACCTTTTAATAAATTGGGCCCCAGCTACCTCACTCACGAGACTTCGCGCCGGACTCCTGTGAGGCTGTGGTACTTCCCCGAACGAGCTTGGTCATTCTTGCAGCAGCAAATACCACGGTAAATTAAGCCCATGAAGTACTCGAAAAATGCTGTACAAATATTTGTCCTGAATACGTTTCATTACCTACTTAAAATTGAAGTTTAGCTTTCAGGTTTGGAAAATTCACAAGTATTTTGTGGCAAATGGCGTTGGTACTATAATAATTGATTTTTTTTGTATTATTATTGCTTAGGTATTTTTTATTATGAAACTATTTATTTATACCAAATAAAGAAAAATTCGAACCCACAATGCGTGAAGCGATAAACCTAAACAAGACTGGAATAGAAAGTATATGTGTATATGCTTTAAGTAAGGCTATAGTTGAATTGTGTCCGGTGTATAGCGACAATCTCGCCTTTCGGACTAAAATTAGTAAAATGTCAATCGTTATCTATCTCTGTCTATTCCATTGTGCTAAAAAAATTTAGTGACTCGTTATCAACTTACCTCAGGCGTGGAGAACAGAGAAAGCCACTCGGGATTTATAATTGTCCTGAATCCCTTTATGAAGGCGTTCGTCTGGTCTTTGATTTGCGTGTGCATTCGGAAGTGGGCCATCATGTGGATGTAGTTTATTCTGTAAGAGGTACAAAGATAAGTTAAAAGCGAACGTTAGCCGGAGCAGCTCACTCCTTACGTTTGAAATATTTTTTTATTTACACATTTTAAACGTCGCTCCGGTATTGTAATACTTTCTACCGTAACGACAACCAGCCAGGCTTAGCATCGAGATGCTTCCAAAAATTCACTCACCATAACATTATCTATTAAATGTTGAGTAGTTTTTTGATATATATCTATATCTGGGAACTAAACCGAACCCAATGCAGACAGAATTTTAAAAATCAGTGCATTAACATAAAAACATACAACCGAATCGAGAACTTCCTCCTTTTTTGAAGTCGGCTAAAATAATATCATCATCCAGGGATTTGCCAAGATTGTTTGCGACCGGTCCCCTGCCTGAAGTCAAACCTTATGAACATACACTCAGATCCGGAACAGTTATCTCTTGTCCCGTGTGAGGATCGAATCCACGAGCCCCGGTGCCGAAGCTAATAGCTTAGCAACTACGCCACCGAGTCGAAATAATAATAAACTAGCGACCCGCCCGGGCTTCACACGGGTACAATGTCTTATACATATAAACCCTCCTCTTTAAACACAATTTATCTAGTAAAAAAACAGCATCAAGATCCGTTGCGTAGTTTTAAAGATATAAGTATTCATATAGATAGAAAGATAGCGGGACGACTTTGTTTTATACTATTTAGTGGTAAGAATAGTAGTAATAATTCCTATAGTTCTCTCCACGACGAGAAGGATCCTAAATCCACTTAGTCTGCAAAAAGCTGCCATTTAATACATGTTGATAACAGTTTTATTAAATAACTTGGAATTATAGGTAAATGTCAAAAAGTTGTTATCGGTGGCCATGGAAACACTGTGTAGCTGGTTTCGCTTTTAGGTTTTTTTTTTATGTGAAAAGTCGCCAAGTGAACAGACGGTTCGCCTAATGTATAAACATGTAATGTAATGTCCATCGTATAAACTCACCATTTTCCCCAAACGCGCCAAAAGAAGTATAGCTTCAATAATAAATAAGAAAAATAAAATAGTAATTCAATGTATTCCGGATTCTAAGGCATTTAGAATTTATTCTAACACGTTTCCACCACTTGAGTGTTAAGTGTCACAGTACCACAGAGCAGGGATAAAAATTGGTAACCTAAAACAGAAGCGGGAATAGCTGACGCCAATATTGAAAAGGAAAACAGTCATTTAATTTCTACTTACCTGTTTCAGACGCATGAAATCCACGTTCTATATAAATGAAAAGTTTAAACATAAATAATTCAAGATCAGTTACTCTGAGATATATAGATATTTTTCATTTTATATATCGATATTTGGCCGACAGATTGGTAAAAATATTCCATATCGAAATTGTGTCAGAAATGATATTTACTCAAATTCGAAGAGTCCATATATTTAATGCTTGACATACTTTTTTTTTGGACAACGAGGACTAGAGAAAATATCGACATATCGATATATTTCTTCACCTTCGACATCCCTAAGCCAGTGTCGGATCAGAACAATTTTGTTATCTGTATATCGGTTTTTACTGAGTTCCGTCTGTTTCACGATGCTTTAAAGTGAAAATCTGTGTTTTCACTTTTTCTTTGTTATATTTACATTTTTTTTAAATTTGTGCAATATCATTTTATGTTCTGTGTAATTACATTATTTTCTAAATTCGTTACGTATCTAGTGTGATTAGACCGTGAATGAAAATAATGATAATGGATCGCTAACTTGTTTTCGTTGGTAACTGGTATCGCCTTGCCGCCGGGAACCAGTTCGTGGGTCACGATCTCTCCCAGCCGCTCCTCATCCACCGAGAAGGTCAGCTCCAGCGAAGAGATGTCGCCCTGAGGAAGAGGAGGCGCTACATCATCAGCGGCTACATGGGACAGTTCACCATCTATGAAGCACTAAGCATTATTTGCTTTTCAAGTACTGCTCTGCGCCTCTAGCAAGTCCCTGGCTGCTGCTGATTTTATACTTAAATAATTTTGTACACGTTAGATCATTGAAAACAAATATAATAAGTTCTTCCTGTCGGGTAATTCCTAGATAGGTCTAGTTCATTGAACCGGTGATGGATTTTTGACGTTCGATATGAGCTGAAAATAAGCCTATATTGGGTAAAGAAATTTTGACTCGGACTTTGAGGGCCCATTCCGCATATTATATGGTGGTGAGGACACCTCTTCACATAATTTACGAATGCTCTGCCTTGGTTAATATCAGAAGACAAAAACTAGGAGGTCCCAAGTTGACCTTCGTCGAATGTCGACTATACGTTTGGGTTGTTGGTTTGGAGGAGGCTATCTAGCTCTAAAGGAAAACAACAGCCCAAGCCGAGTCCTTGCGCCTAATTACTCCATAGAGCATCCGCCAAAGCACAAGATCTAAGTGCTTGGCGGCCTCCCAATCCATTATTTAATAGAGTAATAGTATCTAATAGAGTAACGGCCCTAGTCACGGCTCCCGAAGGAACCCTCGAGTTTAGTCACTTGTAAACAAGGTTTAGGCTAGGCGCCTCACCGTCTGGCTGCCTAGGGCCTTGTGGATCTGTAAAGGCCTCCTAAAGGCCAACAGTGAACGACCCAATCCAAAGAAAAAAAAACCTGGAAGTGCTTGATGTAGGTGAGGCTGCGGTAGAGGTCGCGGTCAAGCGAAGGCAGCTCGTCGATCCAGCTGTAGAGCGCTTGCTGCGTCTGCCCCAGCACCTGGCTCAGGAAGAACGACGCGAACGGAACGTCCACCACGATGCCCTGCGAATTCGATTTATTTTATTTTAAAAATTTTTGCACAATGTCGTACAATGACGGACTTAACACCATTAGGTTTTCTACCAGTCAAACGACAAATAAATAAGAGAAAATAAGGAGCCTGAAAACTAGAGAATACTCTTACGATTATTCGCTTGACCTCTCGATTGTCAACGTCATGGTCTTGACAGTATTGAAAGGCTTCAATTTTGTTTTATATTGTTTACTCGAGAATAAAAGGACATTCTGGAAAATTGTTTATAAAAAGACGCTAGAAATTCGGTCATTTAAACGTCCTCATTCTAGAATACACTACGCGAAATGACCGCGGAAAAGATAGCTAGTGTCCAAACGTGTTCAACCTTTCAATAAAACACTTTACAAGAATCATTATTAGAACCTCCTCATTTTTTGAGGTTGATAAAAGACAATAATAATACGACGATGGTAGCTAATGGAACTGCGTTTGGAGCACTGTTCACCTCGTAAACCGCCTTGCCCAGCATCCGGCCGATGAACTCGAAGAGCTGCAAATGGTTCTCCTGCAGACAGGAGGTGGGCGATGGGTACAGGCGCTCCTCGCTCGTCACGCGGAACAGGTTCAGAGAGGGGTCGAAGACGCGTTTGATCGTCTCCTCCAGGAACTCTGGGGATAGATAGATTCGAGATTATATGCTATATACTGTAATACGGAAATTCTTTATTGACCGAATCAAAATATCACCGTTGTGTGAACCTACCACAATTAAGTGCGCCACCACAGACCTTTCACCCCCCATTCCCGCCGCACACGTTCCCACACGTACATACAAACTGTACACTGCGCGTACAAAAGTGCGTGAGTGTGCGTGCGTGTGCGTGTGCGTGTACTTACGCCCGCGCGTGCAAGTGTGCCACCGATCTATGGCTGCGCGTGCGTGTTTGTGCGCGCGTGCGTACGCCAGGGCGAGCGCGTGTGCCACCGACCTTTGAAGACGCCGTCCTGGTCGATGCCGGCCTCGTCGAGCCCCTGCTGGTTGACGAAGCGCACTCGCACCACCGCCTTGAGGGCGCGAGCTGGCAACGCCGCCAGCTGCCGGTAGCCGTCCTCCACCAGCCGCGCGCGGCGGACGGTCACCAGTGTGGAGCGGGCCCCCGACACGCACGCACGCTCCGTCAACCCCAGCACCACCTGAGATAAGCCCCGTGCGGCCCCTTTACCAACTGCTGGCGGTTCACCTTATATTAACTGACAACCGCCGCCTATGGTGTTCGGCACTTTTTACGTAAAGTCCATCAATACGTAGTAAGCATTAAAATATACCGCCACAAACAGTCTGTTCACGTTCGGTAATCAAACAAACTACGCGTTCTCAAAATATCATACCTAATTATCATATCATAAATATCATATTATCGAAGTGTATCATTTTAACGATATCAATTTTGTAATAAAGTTTTCTAAGAAACTCTATTATCATTTATATAATCATAACCGGTGTTAGGAGTTAGCTCCAACATTACGCCGGTCTTCTGTGAGGTCGTGGTACTAACCCGGGCGGACCTGCCCATTTGTGCAACAGTGAACACTGTTGCGTGGTCCAATACAGCCCTAGCTCAATGCAGCACCCGTAGAGACCCACATCACGATCGGCTGACTCGTCTCCATTACAGCTCAATGCAGCGTGGGCCGCGGCGTGCTCAGAGATTTCAGAAAAAATATGCACTAATAAAATTTACCAAACTTACTTAAATGACACGCACTTTGAAAAGCCTGTGAGATGTCAAGTTTGTTTTCTTTAACTAAAAAACAATGTTAATTTAGTAAATTCTTTAACTAAAAAACAATAAGTATGATAACTTTACTTTAGCTCGGTTTCAGCGTTTTGGGGCACATTTGTATTGGACGACAGGGTATGCAAAGTTTTTTTGTATGTATATAATGTATACGCATGCATGGACAACTAAAACGGTCGAGGGGTCGTTCATTCATTGCCACCCTTCAAAAAGATGGATATATGTTACTTGATTATTTATTAGATGATTTTATATAGTTGGTGAAAAACGATTGGGCAGAACGTGTACCGCAGTTGTATCAACTGGCCTCAATGCATTTGCTACTTTGAATTTATCGAAATAATTCCAATCAGCTATAGAGAGATAAAATTCACAGCATATGAGAGGAAATTCGCATCTCTCCTACATACGATACAGGATACACCGACGACGCGAATGGCGTTGTGGGTAGTTTACCTGCCTCCTGCGGCAGAGGTTGTGGGTTCGATCCCCACTACTGGAAAAATATTGTGTGATGAACATAGTGTTTTTCCGGTGTCTGGGTGTTTATATATGTATAATATGTATTCTTTTACAAAAGAAAAGTATGTTTAAGTATGTTTATCAGTTTTCTAGTACCCATAGTACAAACGTTGCTTAGTTTGGGACTAGAGAATGTTGTGAAAAAATGCGTCCTAAATATTTAAATATTTATATAATAATGTTATCAATAAAGTTTCTGTACTGTATTATTCGCGGCTTACCTTTTCATCGGCGACTGCTCGTCTGAACAGTCTCACGCGTTCGCTGTGTGCTATCATATGCGGTGTTTTTTGTACAAGAACCTGTAAATAGTAAAAAAATCTCTCTCAAAAGTATGTCTGTAATCCTTTAAATATAATTTCTGCCCTACGGCCGGCTACAGGATAGTAAAAAATATGTCTCAAAAGTATGTCTGTAAATCCTTTAAACATAATTTCTGCCCGACAGCCGGCCACAGGATAGTAAAAAATTTGTCTCAAAAGTATGTCTGTAATTCCTTTAAATATATAACTTCCCTACAGCCGGTTACAGGTTTACACTTTATAAGGGTCACACAAACCCATCCCAAATCTGGTGGAGGTACATTTATTTATCTTCGACATAGATTTTCCACAATTTGATTGTATCACACAAGCAGACAACAAATATGAACACCATAAATGAAACTAATTTTACGGATTTATCGCGTTTATTTTTAATGACTTACAGACTTAGAGAATGAATAACAGACTGTCTGTCCCGTGACCATGAACGCTGTAAAGGGTCCGAAACGTCGGGAAATAAAATTAAAAATAAACGCGATAAATCCGTAAAATTAGTTTCATTTATAATGTGTAATCGCGTAAATACAAGAAATTATTAAATATGAACACCGATAACTCTGTGGCGCAGTTGCCAAGGCACTGGCGTCGGCGTGGGTTCGATTCCCGCACACGGGACAACTATTTGTCCGGCCCACAGATAATTGTTTCGGAACTGAGTGTTTGTCCATGTGAAATGTGTGTGTGTAAAACGTCACAGGACAATGTTATCCTAAAATAAGCACAATGCTTTTAGGGTTCCGTACCCAAAGGGTAATACGGGACTCTATTACTAAGACTCCGCTGTCTGTCTGTCTTTCCGTCTATCAACAGGCTGTATCTTATGAACCTTGATAGTTAGACAGTTGAAATTTACACTTATTTCTTCTTATCATAGATGATGTATTTCTTTTGCTGCTATAACAATAAATACTAAAAAAAAACAGAATAAAAAAATATTTAAGGGGGCCTCCCATATAACAAACCGATTACCATTAACCCTTCGTGCGCGAGACCGACTCGCACTTGGCCGGTTTTATTTTATACATAAAACAAAAACAAGGCAAGTAAGCGGAAATGCGTTGAAATCGTTATTTTTTTTTACTGTGAAAAGTAGCCAAGCGAGCAGGCGGTTCACCTGATGTTAAGTGAATACCGCCGCCCATGGACATCTGCTACACCCGAGGATTACAGATGCGTTGACAACCTTTTAAATATTGGGCTCCAGCCACCTCATTCACCAGACGAAACGCGATAGTATTTGTCAAATCGCGGTAACTTTTGGCAGGTTGCAACGCAAAGTTACCTGCTGGGGCTTCTTGCCCTTCTCCAGGTCCGCCATGAACTGCGTTTCGCGTATCTCGCGCACCAACCAATGGTTCGGCGGAGTGTAGGAGCGCCTGCAGTCGCGGCGGTACAATGCGAGAAGTAGCGTGTGGAGGGAAGCGAACAGGGAGTTGCTCTGGACGAACTTCAGATCTGAGTACGTACGTTTCCTCTCAATCGCTACTAATTTCACAAGCATATTTTTGGAAGTAAAATAAAGTAACAGCATATATATATATATCGCTGGCCAAAGACAAAGGCCCCCTCAGTAGAGAAGGTATTGGCGGACTCCGCATATCTTCAAGGTATTATTTTCTTTTTTGTTGTTTCCTAACGATGTTTTCCTTCACCGTAATAAGTCAGCACTTAAAATTAATAATTTGGACTAGGAACTGAAGTGAGTGTATTGAAAATTGAAAATATACTGCGCCCGGAAAATATGCCCTTGAGGTACTTTACTTTAAAATAAGTATTATCTATATTATATATATCTCTTGATTGTAAACGACAATCAATAATGTTATAACAGCGTGTCGTTACAACCGCGACAATAAATGAACACACATATAGATCGATCCTCTATATGTGTGTAACTTTATTACTATATAACTATTGTAAATAGTGTGTTAACTTTTTAAAATTGTATCAAGCATTTACATTCTTTAAACATCACTATTTATCTAGTTATTAAATTTTACATAACAAACATTTTTAGAGCGCCCTTTCGTATAAAACTGTAACGTAAAGTTCATTTGTAAAGGTCACAAAGCATAAGAATGGGTTGAATGAATTGAAAAGACATAAAACATACTGTTAGAAGGAGAGACTTGTAATGAGTTGTTGCAACGAATAAAAGTCTCTGAATGTATGAATTCAATTCTGAAGAAACAAATTTTGTTTCTTTTTTATTTAATTATTTTGTTTGAAAAATATATTTTTTTAATTATGGATTTTTTAACGTTTAATATTTTTTTATGATTATTGGCAAGTAGCGTTAGACGTGTGTTCATTTATTGTCGAGGTTGTATCGACACGCTGCATATTAGAATAGTACATAATCTATTCTGTACGTATAAAAACCTGACTTATTTATTTCCAAAATCCCCGTAACCGAATGCATATAGTGTGACGGTTATAACAGACATCGAGCTTAGGTAACAAAAATCAATTTCACCGAGTTTTAACTCCATTAGGCGAATGTTAACACTAGTTGAAACATTGAAATGCGTACGACCTTGAACTTTACAAACTCTTATTTACTTTTTATTTGTGTAGCGTGGTGGCAAGAGAGCAGGCGGTAAATCTGATGACAACTGCAACGCGTGCAGCGTTGCAGATACTATGTCAACATCGACAAAAGTGTGCCCCGGTTACCTCACTCACCGGCCGAAATGCGGAATTGCAACACTTCACGCCGGTCCTCTGCTAGGCCGTGGTAAGCTTGCCCATAAATGCATCAGCACAGTGTTCACCACAGTGAACTAACATTCTATGCAACCAACTACATATAGAAACAAGAAGGTACTCACCGAACAACTGCCCCATAATGGTTTTGTACACGAACATATTGAGGAAATGCGACATCGCCACGAAATCGTGCAGCTTGAACGGTTCCTGTTGCTCGTACATCTCCATGTCGTCCAAAATTCTGGAAGAGGGAACGTTTCTTTTGCAAAAATGTCTCTTAATCTTTCAGTAGGTAAGCATAGATAACGAATAGTGAAGACACTATCAAAATCATTACTTCATGTTCAAGGGGCGATTTGAAATCGTCGTATACCACTTGTGGTGTAAATGGTTCTTTGTGAAATTACACTGATTCGAACGCACTTTCCCTGATAGCTATTTGTTTCTTACAATTATTAGTCTGCTTTTCTTTTTAAAAGAAAGCCCCCTACTACAGTATAACAATAATGTGTTAAAACGAATTTATACAGATACAAAGTGGACAAAGACCTACATTCAAAGAGTCTTAAGGAGACTATCAAACTTATAGATGGTATTCATTTGTAATAAATACATAGCCTATTGCTTAGTATTTGTGCCATCCGATTCAAACTTGCACTATTTTCATAGATTCCAAACTATGGAATGATTACTCACGTAACATAGTGTGTCATGCAATCAGCGAAGAGGATCAACATTTGAAACTCTGGCGCAGAGGTCTTTGTATTCACGGCTAAGAGGTCAAGGAAGGACTTGAGACCGCAATTTGGTCCCAACGTGCACAAGAATTGCCATAGGGAATATAGAATTTCATCTTGATTGCATAGACCTGCAATAGAAAAGAATCTATAAGTAAAACACATTTTATTGAAATAATTTTCAATGAATTTTCTATATATATGTGCCTTCATTTTTAGCACTATTGCCGCTGTAGCTATACAAATTTTTATCTTTGTTTATTTGACATACATTCATAAAATAAACAAAGACACATGTGAGCAAAATTGCATTTAAAAGCTAGAATGAATGAGACGAGAATGTGATTATGAATAAGGTTGATAATTGGTATTAATGACTTTTAATACCTGTTAGGATGTCCAATTTAACCTGTGTCATTGTTTGCAGCGCAGTATGGTACATTGAACAGATCAATGCCGCTTTGGTACAGTCTGGTGAGCCTAGTTTCCTGTAGTTCTTGTGGGAGTTGGATCTAAAAAATACACTGACTAAAATTTTTAATGATGTAATTAAATGTGTCATCAAAATTATATATAAACATATTAAAGTTATGTTTTTAAAGTGTATGCTTAGATTATTAACTCTAGAGAATTAATCATAATAATTATTATTGCACATGTAAAAACTATCGGCTGGTATCAAACCACATTTTGCTTTATTAATATTATATCTACCTGTTTGTTCTAGCTTCGATTGCCCTCCTAATAAAGGATGCAGGGTTATTACTCTGCACGGGTGTTGATGGTTGGGATGGTCCAGCACCTTCTTCACCACTTACACCAGCCTCAACCATTTCTTTCAAAGGTGTTGCCATTATCTTTTTCAGCAGTGGTGCTCCCCATAACAAAGACAATTGATTACGAAGATTACCCATCGTTGGAGGTAAGTAAGCATCCAAACCTTGTGAAAACCATCCAAGAACAGGGTGCCAGTTACTCAAGTTCCCTTTTTTGCAAACCACATATTGTTGGCATGAATCTAAAAATCGCGTTACCACCAACTAGAAAAAAATAATATCAAAATGAAATTACGTTTATATTAAGATAATTTATCTATGCTAAAATAAACTTCCATTATTATGTATGAGAAAAGCAGGGTTTGGGTATTTAATACTTAATGTTTTTTTAAGGTTGAGACAGTTGAAATTTTCCCAGATGTTGATATTTCTGTTGCTACTGTAACAACAAATACTAAAAAACAGGATACAAAATATTTAAGTAGGGCTCCCATACAACAGACATGATTTTTTGCCATTTTTATAGATAATGGTACGGAAACCTTCGTGCGCGATTCCGACTCGCACTTTTTTTTTTATATTTTTTAAGTTAAACAAACAGATCAAAATATAAAAACAAAAAGTTAGTATTAGAAATGGATAACTATGATTACAGGCCGTTAAACTTTCTTCTGTGAATATAGATACTGTAAAGTCTTCTGAAGGTCAGGATTGAAAAACAAGTTAACTTGTCAACATAAGATTCAGTGGGTGCATATATATCTATTTCTATTATTTAATGCCAAATTTACACTCACCGTAAAGGTAGGATAGTAAGATTCAGGTAGTGCATGTTCCCTCTCCAAGTGTGCTAATTGTATCATATTGGCTAGTAGGCACAATGCATAGTTTCCTTCTAACGTATTGAATACAATTCGCATGTTTTGATCGGTGTTCAGAAACTCCAAGCATTTGTCGAACATTGAATGCGCGCGGAAAGCAGCTATTGACTGAAAATGTTTAAAAAATACACTAAAAATACTTATTTTTTTTAAATATTATTATTACAATTTAAAAATAATGTGTATTGCAGTCAGCATAAGATACATTACAACATTGCTGTGTTTTGTTACTTTATATTTTGTTATACTATAGCTTTTTGAACTAGAATTGTTTATATGATATTTTATATCTACATAAAAATACTTTTAATTATTTATAAAATATTTACATTTTTTTTGGTGAATTAGACTTTTGTAAAACTTGATTTTTCAACAGGTTTGTTACTTTTGAAAGGTTAATTTTTTCTTCCAACATATTTATGTTTAAATTGTGTAATATTTAATTTAAAATAAATTATCCCACTGTCATATGTGAATAATTACATAATATTTAAAAGATTTGCAGTGCTTATTTGTTTCTGTTTTGGTAACAAATTTGTAACTAACAGGAAAATATAAAAAAATTAGGATCCTTAAAAAGTATGTACTATTATCAACTTAAATTAATCATGCCTTACTTTTAGAACTTCACAAAGTTTGCAAAAGGCACATTTATAGAAAATGTGATGGGTTTATGCTTTGCACATAACTCATATTCAATTGTTATATTACCTTTTTATAGAATTACAAATTATATAACTAAACCATATCTTGCACAAATACATTAATTATGATGTTCATAAAAGCAATGAAGAATTAGGGAATTGACATTGATAAACATTAGGTTTTACTGTAACATGATAAAATAAAACCAAAAATGAGATAAAGCTACATACCTCTGGAGAAATTTGTTGCATATGATAAACCAGTGTAGGTACTGATAAAATCTGTATAATATACATTGTTAGAAGTTTCTCTGAAAATTGAGCTGATACAAGTGGCCGCAGTGATAGTGTTACTATTGCAGTCAGTGATATATTTTTTAGGCTAACTTTTTCACGACACAAACCACGAAGAAGCAGTGACTGTAATAAAAATAACAATGATATACAATTCATATTTATGACATAATAAAGCATTAAAAATTTTTGTAGTAGTTAAGAACAAATTTAGAATATAAACAAATAAGGTATTGATTTGACCATTGATATTGATTTAACTAGACCTAATATTAGATATACTTACTTTTAACGTTAAATAGTAGCCTTTGTGGAATAATGATCCCATAATATTAGCACATAACTGTGTCATACCACCCCTGAGCTTATCAAAGTTCTTGAGCCTAGTTAGTGCCCATGTGTTGGTGGCTGTAAAAGCTATGAGGGTATGTAAGTGTATAAGAATACTCTGCATGTCCACTGGAGACTCGGGTTTCAACTCTTCAAGATATAAACAGCATTTGTAGAGTAACATCTTTATGTGAGCTATCCAACGAAGACTGAAATAACAACACTTCAATATAAAACAGAAATCAAAATGATCTATATTTGTTAAAACAATTAAAAAAAAATGAATTTTATTACCTTTGTCGAGAAAACACAGATAAAATAATAAAAGTAAGAAAGATAGCATTAAAATATTTGCTGTACTTCATCATTTGATTAAATTATTATTTTTTTAAATTAGATATGGTGAAAATATGATTGAATATTACATGCAAATATAAGAATACATAATTTAATTAATTATAAAATGATTACCTGTACTCTTTGTTTAAGAAAACACCAACGTATGACAGTTTTACAGATTCAGAATGCAAACTTTGCACTATATATTTACAGAGCCTCTCAAACCTCTTTCTGTCTCTGTGCTGTTTAAACACTAAGAAAAAGCGGCATGTTACTCTATAAACATCCAAAGCCGGTATCAAATCAATTGTAGGGGTTACTTCATCTTGTGATCCATGCGGTGTATATTCAGGAAGCAATTTATCAAATTCCTTGCTAAAAATAAAACAAACCTTACAAATTACACAAAAAAATCAATTAACTTTATTTGTACTGCCAATGTCATAAATATTGTTTCTGCTGCCTTATATTGTGTTCTGCCTATAACACATAATATACTTACATTATTATTTTTATAAATTGCTGTCGTGCAAGCCAACCTCGCACAATTGCTTGAATCCTTATAGCAGATTGCTCGCGCTTTTTCTCCAGTGCGCGTTCTTCCCTCGCCGCTTTAGTCTGCTCAAGGAACGTATCCTTACTTGTTAAGGACTTGGAAAACATATTTACTTTTGAATATTTGTATTTGTGATATTTATGTAGTATCGGCAAAGCGTTTTCTGTTTAAAAGAAAACACTTTGTTTCCTTATTTTGTTGTCAGGATGTAGACATGATCGAATTCATTGCAGGGGCCGCGAAAACAACATTGATCTGAATGACATCTAGAATTTATCATATAAAACACTATTCTATGAACATGATTAGAAATAAGATGTTTTTTATTTTATTTTTGTTAATCAATTTAGGCCAAAACCGAGAACAATATTGTTGACATTTAATTTCAGATTGATTTTGTTGCTATATAAAAAAAACTGCTAGGGTGGGAGATTTCCAACAATTTAAATCACCAAAATTGTATCGAGTTATTATTATTTACAGTCAATGCTTCATGTAATGTTTAAATATACATTTTTAAATTAATTTTATGGTAATATCTCTATTTATATCATCCTTTAGATTCTTTTACTTCCACTTCCAATAAGAATGCGATGAGGTGCAATCTTGAAGTCATTTCAAAGCTTTCCGTTTCTTTCGTAAGGTGGCGCTTTAATTTATTTTATATAGAAAAGTGCATTATTAATTTACAAGTAGGTAATCCTCAAACTTTTTCAAAATGTTACCAAATAAAATAACCCAAAATTAAGAACTAATTATTAAACGGTGAATATCTTAAAGGTTCTATCCTATAGGTACTTATTAGAAACGCATTGCAGTGATACCTATACAACACTGTACTAGCTCGACTGTACTGCTCTAACTGATCTAGCTCGTAAATTACTTATATGCCCATTATGAAACTTAAGACAAGGTCAATCTTTACACTATTTACTATTTTTTATAAAAAATGATACTATGTAACGATCCAACTTATTGAAATTTAAGTTTTAAAAATTTAAATATTTAATACCCAAAAAAGCATTTAAAAAGGTTAAGTACCTATAATTCACGAGGGTCACAAACGTCAAGGACTTAGGTGCAAGGGCGGATCCAGCTTTGGTGCCAGGGGGGTCACGTAGTCGTGGTCAAGTGATAAGTTATAATTTAATTTTTATAATCATAGATACAAGTAAAAAGTAGGTACTTATTTTTAACCGACTTAAAAAAGAATAGATAATGAATCAATTTTGATGTTTATGTTTTTTATGTAGGTATTTTCGGGCATACCTTCGTCAGATATAGACGGATTTGCAAAATTCTTTTTTGTTCGTAACATTTCGTTGCTTTTTACTATCATATATTATACAAGGTGGCTTTTATAAAGGTGCCCAAATTCACACAGGAGGTTCAGACTCGGTAGTATGATCGTTAATTAATATAAAAACATTTTTTTTTTAAAAATTGGCATTCTATTCCCTAAAAACAAACTTGTTGACAATGAGGTAGTCATTCATAAATGCGTCGTATATACATATGTTAGTTATGAATGATCGCGCGTAAAATAAATGAGTTGCCCATAAATCACGCACTTTCTGAGATAAGTTCAAATGAATGTAATTAATTAATTGCGAGTGATTTTAAATATTTATCATTATTTATATAAAATTATTTATTAAAATATTATGTAGAAAAAGTGCGAAAAGATTGTCGCCGATGTGGGAATCGAACCCACGTCTTCGGCATTCGCGGCCTGACGCTCTAGCCACTGAGCTAAATGGCTGATTGCCACACCGACGAAAATCTTAACGTATTCTTCTACATTGTTTTCTTAGCATTTGAAGCAATGCTTGGCACCATCTATTGTTATATCCTTTCCAGCATACAAACAATTTCGAATATCGTTTTTACAACGATAATTCGAACGAGAGATGTCGCCATTGCTTTTTTAGAAATTTAAATTGTTTATAGTGCTAATCTTTGCACTTAAGATTGAACATTAAAATATTATGTAGAAAAAGTGCGAAAAGATTGTCGCCGTTGTGGGAATCGAACCCACGTCTTCGGCATTCGCGGCCTGACGCTCTAGCCACTGAGCTAAACGGCTGATTGCCACACCGACGAAAATCTTAACGTATTCTTCTACATTGTTTCGCACTTTTTCTACATAATATTTTAATGTTCAATCTTAAGTGCAAAGATTAGCACTATAAACAATTTAAATTTCTAAAAAAATATTTATGTTTAAAAATTGATAAAAAAAATGGATACACTTAGAAAAGCCTCCCTGTATAGTATTTTTTTAAGTAGCTATTGGTAGGCTTACGTATTTTTGCAATTTATTTTATTTATTTCTCCGTTACCAGATTTTATGTAGTCGTATTGGTTATAATTTTCTCTACTCTACTCCGCACGCTGGCTCCATTTCAATGACAAGTCTAAGACGGGACTATCAGGACACGGTTTAATAATAATATATAATCAACCCAAATGAAAACTCCTAAAATAGCCGTACACAAAATAAAACTACATCGTCCACATTAAAAAAATGTTCATAAATAACAAAAAAATATTTATTCATTCATTCGTTCATAATATTCAGCGCTTCTAATCCATCTAATCAAAGATAGAATACACATTCACAAAAAACTTTATTTCCCAAAGATGGTCTCGCATACTCACGTCCACTAAACCACCACATCTACACCCATTAAGACAAATCAAACTCGACGCAGTTGTGTTCCTTAATTACTGAGTTCCTATGGCCACATTCCAGCTCTGTCATCAGACCCTGGTTACCATCTAGCACCAAAGAACTCGTCATGGCGAATCAAACGAGCCGAGACACAATAGGGTTGCGTCGTTTCTTTACTGAGTTCATATGAATGTCTTTCAGCTTCATCATCAGATAATGGTTACCATCTAAAAATTAAGTACTCGCCAAGACGAATCAAACGGGCCGAAACTCTATGGGGTTGAGTCGTTTCATTACAGAGTAGTCATAGGAACCTCACAGAATAGCCTCATAGACCTCACAGAAGATCGGCGTAAAGTAGTACTTCTGCGATTTGTCTGGTGAGAGAGGTAGCTGGAGCCCACTTTATTATAATGGGAAAACGCATCAGCAACCCTATGCATATTTCCATGGACGGCTGAAGATGGAGCTCCATCATCAGATCCTGCCATCATCAGATCAGCACCATGTCATAAAAATGTTGCATTGTCTCGCGATTCACACATGTATACAAAATTTCAACTCAACCGGTAACCGGAAAGTAGATCAAATTTAATTTGCAAGAATTGCCTTGATAATTTAAAATGAAAATATTGTAAAAATGTTCATAAAATGAAAACTACTTGGCCAAACTATGTTATATTTTTATGGGACCAAATGGCAACTATTCTGCATCAAACTAAAGAAGAATCACGTAAATCGGATCATAAATCTCAACGTAATCGGTGTACATACATCGAAAAAAAATATACCAATCGAATTGAGAAACTCCTCTTTTTGAAGTCTGTTAAAAATATTATATTAATTTAATTAAATATTGAAGGTACTTACATAAAATCTATATTGTGGCAAAAAAGATATTAAAACATTATGTTTAACAATTTTATTAGTAGTCCACCTAGGTCCTAGACTCAGCCCAGGGGGGGGTCATGACCCCCATGACCCCCCCCCCCCCCTGGATCCGCCCTTGCTTAGGTGTTCGTTTCACGGCAAGACTAACGTTTCGTGATCACATAAAAGGTGTTTGCACAAAAGCGTACAGGAACCTGGGTTTTATTCTTCGAACAGCTAAAGGTTTTACAAACATCAAAGCGATTACTGCTTTATATAATACTTTGGTTAGAAGTCACCTGGAATATAATGCAATCATTTGGGCTCAATCATGAATCATGAAACTAAATATAGCCTCATGTTGGAACGAATACAAAATAAATTCTTGAGATTTTTATATATGAAACAGTATGGAGTGTATCCACTTTACCCGTTGATGTACCCAACTTTATTTATTGTGGGAATGGTTGGATACAACACATTAAGCCTTAGAAGAGATCTTCGTATGGTAGTGTACATATTTGAATTAATTAGAGGAAATATTCATAATGCGGACTTATTGGGACAAATAGGCTTGTGCGTTCCGAATAATTACAATTGGCGGCGGCGCAGATCACAGCTGTTTTTGGTACCGCAAGGGTGCTCCCAGTTGTTGAATGAGGCGCCGTGGACGCGTGCACTGCGCACTTTAAATATTATTGCTAGGGATATAGATTTATGCTTGTGTTCTCTGAGTGAATTCAAAAAGGTTGCATTGTTGATTTGTAGTGGATGTAGTAATAGGTAGTTTTTTCTTTATGTTTTAGATTGCCGCACTATTGCATTAGGTTAAGTTACCTGTAATAATAGTGTAAGGTTTTGTTAATAAATAAATAAATAAATTTTGACTGCTTGATTTATTTTCATGTATGTTTGTTATACTGTGTAATGGGATTCGAAGTAACGTGTACCTGCCGGTTACTAAAATTTTTAAAGTAGAGAGCTCTCAAACTTGTTTTAGATCGTAAAGTAAAAATGTTTAGTAACTGGATTAAAGAGATTTATATTGGTTAACATACTAAAACATTACGAAACATCAACATTTTTTACTCGTTTGCTTCACTCTTATGACCACTAGCGACCCGCCCCGGCTTCGCGCAATGTATTATACATATAAACTGTCCTCTTAAATCACTCTATCTAGTAAAAAAAAAACCGCATCAAGATCCATTGCGTAATTTTAAAGATCTAAGCATACATAGGGACTTTGTTTTATAGTATATAGTGATACTGTAGTGGATTTGTCTAGTTTTTTTTATAACCGGCAGCCTTCCTGATGGCAACCCTCCTTGGGAACAAACACCCAGATCCAGAGCAGTCCTAAGTATCTGCACCACCAGTCTCTCTGCTACTAGCAACAGTATTCTTTTAAAGGCCCGACATGCATGCATTTAAAAAGTCCGTAGGGCTATATTGTATGCTTGTCTAGATGGAGCAACGCTAACAAAAGGCTTGCTAAAACTGTCCGATTGCATGATATATGTGAGTAACGTTTGTGTACTTATTGTAAACAAAATGTCAAGA